TATATATATATATATATATATATATATATTAAAAAGTACCTAAAGGATGGGTGCTGAGGATGAAGGCAGGCTCTTTTTTGGTGTTGCCAAGCAATAGCACAAGAGGCAGCAGGCAGAAAATGACAATGCACAGGAAGTTCCTCCTGAACATGAGGTAGAACTTTACTGTGGGGGTGACCGACCACTGGAACAGGTTGCTCAGAGTGGTTGTGGAGAGTCTCTCGCTGAAGGTGTTCCAGTGGACACAATTCTGTGCCATATGCCCTAAGGTGACGCTGCTTGAGCAGGGAGGTTGGACAGATGACCTGCTGTGATCCCTTCCAACCCAGTCAATACTGTGTATTCTTCAGGCGATGATGGGCCTTCTGTGCTCACAAACTCAGTGACTTTTGGCACTGCCCAGTCCTTGGGCTGCCCTGGTGCAGTGTGCTCTCCTGGTGATAGTGTGGTTGGTGTGAGTGTTGGCATGAGGAAGGCTCTCCATAGTTTTCCTCTCATGCACTTCTCTGGGTGACAGAGAGATAAACCCCATGTGTCCTGCAGCTCATGGCCACACTATGGGTTGCTCAGGCGGATAAAGATGTGTTTCTGGCTCACACAAACCACAGGGCCTTTCTGCCCATACAGCTGCAGTCTCACTGGGGGCTTGCTTGCTGTCATGCCTGGGGTTTTGTGGTGTTCTCTCAACCCATTGACTCATGTAGATATGACAGATACCGACGGACCTGAAACATGGTGCCTGTTTCTGGGGCCAGTCATACAGAAACTTACAGCTGAATCACAGCAGTTGGGAACAGTGGTGGAGTGAGAACAGGTCTTAGACAGCACTGGATATTGGCTCCCTTCATTGGGCTGGGTACTCCTGAAGCCTGGTGTCCTGGACAAGAAGGATGCTTGTTGTGGCTGAAGTGACACAGGCACCTCAGTGTGTTCTGCTGAATTCCCAGGCCTCAGGCTGGCTTCTTTGTGGCTCTCTGCTAAGACTTTGGATCTGAACTTTGTTTGCTCCAGCTCTTTGCCAAAGGACTTGTCAGAGGCAACCTCTCTTATGCAAATTCAAGCACCCTTGACCCTAAATCCCTGGATTCACTCTGATAGCTCAGCAGAGCTGCATCCAGTGGAAGCATAGGATGTTCTGTGTCATGTCTCCCCATGGGTGTAGGTGGGAGGTTCCAAAACTGCTTTAGTGCTGTTGGGGAACAGTTTTGTCTGCTGCCGTATAATAAAATTGAGTTTGTGGCTTTTGTCTGGGTTGCATAGCATGCAGCTATTAAGGATTTGGAGCAGTTCTGGGTTAAGCTCTCTGGTCAGATAAATGTTATGAGACATTTTGATGGAGAATGCCCGTATCCTTCTTGGCAGAGCTGTGATACATCCTGATTGGGGCTGTCATGAGGAAGAGGACGCACAGCTTTTTTCTGTCTGGGAACAGATGCTTCAGGGATGAAAAAGGAAGGGAGGTAAGGGAGAAGAGGCCAGTGGAGGAGGGTAGTTCATGAGGAAGATGATCTACATTGTGTCCATAGCATGTCTGATAGCATCCAGGATGTGATTGGGATCTGATTGTTGCTCTTTCCTCTGAGTCTGAGGCTCCTTGCTGCTGTTTATATGATCTCTGTGGGTTGTGGGTTTTTTCTCTCTTGTTTTTTTTTTTTTCCCCAAGAAAGCAAACTTCAGCCCTGCTTTTATTCTGTGATGTCCCCAGGAAGGTACTGGACTGTGTAGCACTGCATAGGGTGCCCCAGCAGGCTGTGACCTGTACTCCACACTGCACCTCTGTCACTCTGCTTTGTTCCTCTGACGTGCCCTTGTTGAAGCAGGACTCTTTGTTGTCCTGTCCTGCAGCTTTTCTTGGACCCCCACAAGGAGAATTTGGAGGGAGCAAATGCAGACAAAGCTGTTGAACTGTCTGTTCATCATTGCAAAGTGACGTGTCAGGTGGAAAAGTTACACTTAGACACAGCTTCTGCCCACGTCACCACTGCTACTTCATGGAACTTCTGCTAACATGTCAACATAATATAATTGAACTTTAACTCAAGATAGCAAATCTGTTCCCCACCAGGATTGACACCTTCTTTACCACTCTGCCATCAGTCACTTCTGTATCTGGGACTGCTTAAGTAATGAAAGGGAGCTGCACACGGCTTTGCCAGCTCTGGGAGAAAATAACACTGTATAATGTGTTGTTCCTCCAGAGGGAATCCTGAATCTGTTCATTGGGACCCAGGTAAATCATGACCCTTGCCAAAAACATAGAAAGTACATTCTGGAGAGAAACTGCTGCCAGACTCTGTTCCTGCCTGCTGACAAGAGGGGTGTCCTCAGAGTGAGTGTGCTTGTTGTAGAAATGGGTAAAATGAGCCTGAGCAAGGACAGAGCAGAGCCAGCTGTTACAGCATAGCAATGTAGACACCTCTATTAGTTTCTGAGCTCTAGGAGTTGGAGGTGGGACCTGGTGTTGTGGCTTCTATTAACCTCAGAGCTCAGTCTGCAAATGCCAGTCTTGCTGTTGCTGACAAGCCAAGACCTTGACCCTTTTTCCTTGGGCAATATCTCATAAAATTTGTTTTCTTTTATCTTCGGGGCTCTGAGACCACAGGGGAATGCAGGCAGCACTCTTACTGGTCAAGCTCCTCTGGCTGCTACTGGAGTACCTGAGACCAGCAGTTCTCCTCTTCCCGTGACCCAGGCAGCTTCCCATTTGCTCCAGTCACTGATTATAGAGCAGACCAGAGTTGCAGAAATATAGAAATGCTTCTTAGATTTCCAAGGAATGTCTGAGCTGTGATGAGATTTTTTCAAAAAATTATACTCTTGATAACTAAGCTTCATGTCTTTCCTCTGCACCCCATGTTTTAGTTTTTAAAGGGACAGCATGTCAGTTTTAGTGAAGGCCAAGAATATAGCAGGTAAGGAGTCTGTGTATGTGGTAAAGTTGAAAGTATAAAAAAACTAATGGGTCTGAGCTGCCAAAAGTGAAGGAACATGCTGGTGACTACAAATGCAAAGGTCCTGGAGCGGGAAATGTGTGCCATGTGTTGTTACTCACAGGAGGATAATAAATCCACCACTTCACACAAGCTGTATTTGAGTCAGGCATATTATGCAGAAACATTTCCCTGGCACGTTCCTGGTGACTTGGCAAGTTAATGAGCTTGGTGATAAGAACCACAGCCAGTCCTGCTGCTGTCATGTCTTGCTCCTTCCAGCTTCAGCCCCATCCTTGCCCACACAAATATTTTTGTGCAGTGCAAGATCCTGCATGGAAAGTGACTCTGTATTCCTGATTATTGGTTATCTCCTAGGCTGTTGTGGAAGGACCACCAATATGCTTGAAGCTTCCTTTACATGGCTTCATAAGTGTATGATCATGATAGCTCTGGTGATGGCAGGAGGATGATGCTGATCATAGCAAGCTGGCACCAGGGAATGAATAACCTTTGCTTCAAGTTTTCCATTAGGAAAATTCAGTACTCTTTCATTGTAGTTTCACTGTAAGCATCGAGCATGGCCAGCAGTATCCCCATGTGTTTCTGTTGTAGGTGTTGACCCTGCTGTAGGGTTTTGCTCGATCATGTTGAGGCCGTGCCAGGTCCTCCTGTATGCCCAGCATCCCCAGTTCCTGTCAGTTGGTGTGTCAGTACAGCGCAAGACCTGAGCATTGGCTCTTGCTGTGAATTTAGAGTGAGGAATGCACCAGGTGTGTGAGAGCAGCCTTCTTTGCATTGCTTTCCTGTTTGTTGCCAGATAAAATACGAGCTTAGCATAGGCAGACACAAGTGTTATCTTCTCTGTAGTTCTCTCTGCTGACCTTGCTGTGTTTTCAGTGTAAGATGTTATGGTCAGTCACTCTCTCTCAGACTCAATCTACAGCCCTCAGCAGCACCTGAACTGTGATCTGCATAGAGATCCCACTGCTGCATTGGTTCTGCATATCCTCCCTCTGCTGATCCAACTGGTGATGCACTATGGGGCAAGGTGTATTAGAGCTGGTGAGCTGGAAATGTCGCCATCTACTTGTGCTTATCTTGGCACAAAATTTGTGGGGCAAATCTGGTAAAATACAGCTCTGATCTTCACGGTGCATATGTGAGTTGGGGCTTAAAGGGTGCGAGGTTTGCCCTGGTCAGTGTGCAGGCCTGGGGAAATGTCCTGCAAATGTCCTGTAAAATGAATAATTCTCAAGGGCTTAGCGAAATGCAGCTGGTACTTCAAGTCTCCCATGGGAATTCTGAGTTTAGTCATACTCTCATAGTGAATACTCTCATGCTCTGTAGAGCACCGGGAGCAGGCAGAGCTTGGAAAAGACCCGTGCCTGTTCCTTTCCTTCTTGCTGGTATTCCTCTAATAAAGCCTGGTTGTGCAAGGGCTGGGATCAAAGACCTCAAACGCCTAAGTGGATTCATCCAAGGTTTGTGTAAAGGCTTATATGCATTGAAAACCAAAGTGTTTGCTCTCATTTATGAGTAGTATTAAGCATGTTAGACAAGCATACGCTTAAAGGACGGCTGTTAGTGTGGGAAAAAGGGCAAGCAGAGCTTTGATAAAGATACAGCATTAGGAAATCTGCTTGCTGTCTCCCTTCTTCTTCCCCTCTTCAAACGTTTTGCAAATAGTGTTCAGATGACTGTTTGATCTTAAATTTGCATGTCAGCAAAGGCTATGCAGTTCTCTCAGGAATTAGCAAATCGTAGAACAGGGTTAACAGGAGTGTATTTGGGCTGCTTTGAAATTCCTCCCTTGCATGAGCCTCACAACTGCCCTGGAAATTTATTGCTGAAAAGTTTATCTTAAAAAGACCTGGAGCTCCTGAGGCACCATTGTTGGTTTGGGTTTTTTTATATTGCCTATTTAGATGCATCTGTTTGATGTCAGCTATTAAATTTTATCCGAAGAAGCATCTATGGGGAAACAGGGTTGATTCAAAATTAGAGTATCTCCTATGCCTGAAGACATTATCTCCTTGATATATGACTATGGGAGTACTGTGGTAATTGATAGGATATAAAAAATACCTCTACTGCTCAGAGTGGCTCTTCTTATTTACTGAGTGTTTGGAGGCTTTTGGATTTGATTTGTGCTATATGATGACCTGAAAACATGAAGGACATAAGCAAGAAGGTACAGTCTCTTTGTGTGTTAAGTTTTGCTGCCACTCCCTGAATTGATCATAGTTGTTTGAGCATTTCTCCACTCCTTTCCTAGTATTTTCATTCCCTGCTGGAGAGGAGCACCACATGATGGAATCAGCTTGGCAGCAATTAGGACCGGTTGTGCTGAGCAGGAGGCTGCTGGGTGTGAGGCTGAAAGGGACTGGCCTTTTATTAGTGTATTTGTCGATATTGCTGAAAGGCAGGAGAGAAAGTGTCAACCCTCATTAACTCCGTCACACGGTTGTTGGGGTTTTTTTTCGGATTCTGTTAAGATTTATTTTATTAGTGTTTGTCCCCTCTTGAAACTCATTCAGCCGGAGTCTGTGTGACAGGCTGGAAGTAAATCACTCATTCTAGTTTCAAAAATTGGAACTGAGTTTATGTTTGTTTGATGATAGTTGATCTCTGGCTTTTTGAAGATTCTGGACTTTTGAAAGTGCAGGAAAAAATCCAGTTCTACTTCTGTGTACACAGCAGTTCACAAGACCTTAGCTGATTGATCAAAATGACTGTACAGATTAATGATTGTCAGAAGGACTAGGTCTAAGTGTGAAAGGTTAGTTAGAAGCATTCACTAAGCTCAGTGCCATCCCTGCATTAGTCCTCACGCAAAAACCTGGAGTGAATGTTGTGAATTACCTTACTGCAGGCTCTTATGTGAAGACAGCAGAGCTGAGCAGTGCTTTTGCTTGTCTTGCGAAGCAGCAAACTGCCTTGCCCTGAGTAGGACAACTCAAGAGCCAGCATCACCTTTACCTCCAGGTACAGGCTTAGTGTGAGTTTGACATGAAAATCAGACCAGGAGCAGATGAGCTGTGAGCAAACTGCATCCCAGTGCTGCGGTCAGTGCTCTTAACAAAAGTCATGACTCTTGAAAATCCTTTCCTATGTCGTGATTGCTCAGACAATTCTTGACACTTTAATTTGATGCAGAAATGGCTGTTGTTGATTCCTTCGCCTTGCTTAGCCAAGACTAGGCTGGATCCTTCTTCCTGGCAAATTGTACTTTGAGGGATGGGAGTTAGGGATTTTGTTTTCCTGCTGAGCGGTGCTTCAGTGAAAACTATAAGAATATCTTTCCTATGTTTTAAGTAAGTTTCTTTGTAGTTTCAAAACCTCCTCCCTCTGTTATTTTTAATAAATTAATCATCTAATTAATACCATAAGTTGATGTGGAAATTTTGAATTTACTCTACCAGACTGGGCCCCATGAGTTTTTAGTCTGCTGACCCAAAAAGGGTGATTCAGAAGATGCGTAAAAAGAAAACAGTTTTTAAGAAGCATTTTGTTGCCAATAAAGGAGTTATCTTATTTAGTGGATTTTTAGTAAGAGACAGTTTGCATTCTGATGTCATATGCTTCCTGATATGACTGAGTGTTCTCATTACACACTTTATAAAGAACAGACTTGAATCTGTAAGGAGTTTGTAGGCAGTGTTTTTGCATGCTTAGTTTGTACAGTAGGCTGTTCTTGAAGCATATGCATTTTATGCCTTGAAATGAATTCCCAGAACATTTTTAATGTGTAACTTGTGCCCTCTTCTCCTTCACTGGTAGGAGGTGTTTTTATGCCATGTCACTTTACAGGCATTAGTGTCATCAAACACAAAGGATGAGGAGTTAATTATTCACTTTTCCTAGGAAGTGCAAAGTTGTACACATCTAAACCTTGTTTAAATATTGAAATCCACATTTCTAGAATTCTCTTGCCCAACAGGTTTTGGTGTGGGCTCCAGCAATGGTATGGAGTTAGGAACTGTATGGAATTGTATACTCAGCAGTTAAGTCCCTAGTGAAAGCCAAGCAGCCTAAATCCACCTCGGGAAACAATGGAAGTTCAAATGAGGAATTTTGGTTAAAATTCAGGGCTTTGTTAGGGGATCAAAAATTAATTAAAAATAATCTCTCCTTGACATGGTCTTTGCACCACAGCAGCCTTCCTCCTACCCTCACTCCTTAATATAAAGGTTATCTGAGTAGAAGAGAGATTAATGTTACTTTGAAGCAGTGGCAATTGCTGGTCGTTTTTCACTGTGCACTTTCTTGCACATTCAGAGTAACTTCCAAATGTGCTGTCACACTTAGTTTGTAGTTACTGCCTTCCATATAATCAAATTCAGTTTAAGGCCTAATTTTCTGCTCACTTTGCCCAATTTCAATTATTTAGCTTGCCTGTGACATACTTCAAAAATATAAGGGAATCCAGGGAAAGCTGAGCCCTGTGAGCATCTCCTGTTGTGTTGCAAAGGTCTGTCATTCATGTCCTTCGCTGTCGGGCATGTGCATTTATGCTAGAGTAGTGGCCTGTGTAGCCCAAGCAGATGTTGTTATTGGATCTCTGGGGTTCAAGTTTCTTGCAAGAACTGAGTGAAATAGACTCTCTCTACTGTTCTCCTGCTCCATCCCAGGAAAAGTCTTAGGGGGGAGCTTCTCTGTGCTCCACGTATGCTGTGGCACAGAGTTTCAGGACGCAGGTCTGGGTGCACCACCATGTCCCTTGGGTGTGCTCTGTTCCTGTGTTTCTGTGCCAGTTGTATCCGTAGCATTTCTCAGTTGCTGAGGTGAGATGAAGGTGTCTCCTACTCCAAGGAAGTTATAACCTATACTTAAAGAAAGGCTGGTGGAGCCTGGATGAGTTCACTTTCCCTGACCTGTAAGCAATGCTTGCTGGATCAGAGAAGGCCAAGGTGCATTGTGGTTAGGCAACCTGAGTGCGTGTTGAAGATAGTGAACGAGGACTGTGGGATCCACCTTTTTCAAACATGGGAAAAAATCTTGGCTGGACTGTGATTAGCAAGATGTATCCAAACTGAGCCTGCCTTTGTTCCTCTTTCAGACAACATACGAGAACAGGGAAAGAAAGCTACTTGAGTCTGTGGAATGGGGACTTGAAGCTATTAAGTCAAAGAGAAATTCTTGCCAGTTTTTCTTCCTAGAAGGGCAGAGGTGCACAGAAGATACTGGCTACTCCACCTGGCAGAAGGGATCTAGTGCCTCTCTCTGTTCCTGTCTCCAATCCACTGAGTTTTCACAGGACATCCAGTGATTCTTTTATTTGGGCCCAAACTGCAGTGAAGCCCAGCTATGGTTTCTGGTCACTTTGGGCTTCATGACTTCAGAGTAGTGAAATCAGTCTCTGAGGAATTGCTTGCATGTATTTGTGTGACTTAGGTGCACTCTGTGCTGTTGCAGCTGTGGTATTGGTATGTGAATTGTATCAAAGGGGGACTGACTGACTAATGCTGAAAGGTTCCAGTTAGTCACCAAGGAGTCAGATGATTCTACAAAGATCAACTAGTGCTGGTGCAGGGCCAGGATTACCAGGGAGAGACACTGTGCTCGTGCTTCACTCCTGCTGAAACGGAGAGCTCCCACTGGCTGCAACAGGATCTGTGGCAGTGCTGCACACCCTGTGTGTGCAGGCTGCACATCCTTGGAAAAAGGAGCAGGAGCTTTGTATAAGGGGTTGGTGTAGGAATACACAGTTGTCTGGTGTCTACCTGCAGATGTAGTGGTGACTGCAGGAGTCTGGAGGTGAAATCTCAACATTATCTAATGTGAAACAGCAGCTCTGTTGTAATTTTGATGTGCAGCTCAGCTTTTTTTTTCTTGCTCTCAGCAAATTATCTGTCAGTTTCCTTTAAGAAATGCAGTAGCTATGAAAACCTAGGTGTTAAAGAAAACTTGAAATAAATGAAATAATGCACTCTTTTCTCCTCTGTTTTTCAGTTTAGAGTTCCTATACCTTGGAGGAAATTTCATTACAGCAATTCCACCTGAATTAGCAAAACTGCCTTCTCTGAGGTACCTAGTTCTGTGTGACAACAAGATCCAGAGCATTCCACCTCAGCTGGCACAGTGAGTATTTACTGTCATCAGCCACCAGCTGTAATTAACGCTTTGCCCTTTTACTTTTGTGTGTGTGGATAAAAGTACCTGGGAGGACCTATTTGTCTTTCAGTTTGCTAATATGACTGGATTTGAAAAAGAACATCCTTGGCATGGTGCACTGCAGGCAGACCATGAATATGTGATCTGGAAAACTCAGTGAAAGGGTTGTGTTAAAAAACCATCACCAAGATTGCACCTTACAGTGAATTAATAGATTTGTATTAATCAGGGGACACTGAAAAGTACCTGGGGAACTCAGAAAAGATAAATTACTACCTTAAGAAGTAAGAATGGTACTGTTTCATTAGTAATGAATACTTGATGGGCTTTGCCTTTCACCCAAAACGTTTTTGTGCATACTTTTGTACCATCCCTGTGTTCCCTTGGCATTCTTTACCTTAGGGTCTCAGAGTGTCCATGTAATCCTACAGCACAGTTCTAGTGGCTAGGTTACGGCTTTATCTGTTCATAATGGGAGGAAAGAGGACACTGCAGTTCTGTATGTGTAGCCTAAAATGGGAAATGAAGATGGGAGGTATAGCTATAACCCTGAAAACAACTGAATGGCAGCATGGAGTTCTCCAAGTTGGAATTTGATGGTGCAGTGGGATTATTCTTAAAATACAACGTAATTTACAGGTTTGGGAGCCGCCCTGGAGCATTGCTTTGTGCTTCAGGAGAGGGGAAAGCCTCGTCCAAAAGCAAAAAATTGCTTGTCCCCTGTGCTGCTGCTGGCCTGGCCTGGCCTCGCTCAGATCTAGTGGTATCAGCACGAGGAGGTGCAGCCACAAGCAGTGAAAACATGGGGCTTTCCAGGGCTGGTTGCCTCCCAGCAATCATCTCTAATGCATGAGACAGAGTAGGTGACTTACTCAGAGCACTGCATGGGACTGTTCTTGATGCACTGGGTACAAGGAATCGTTATGTTCCCTGAAAGCACTCAGTTTGTACACTTCTGTTCTACCTCTTTGGGGTGTGTGTGGGGAATACTGAGAAGGATAGCAGCTTAAGACTGTGTTTCGTTAGCAGGTATTCTGGTGCTGAACCAAGTTTTCTAGTGCATTGTGTGTACTGGAGTAAGAGCAATTCTTTTAGCATGAATTTATGTTTTAAAAGGGAGAAAAGCCAAAGAAATTGGGGGAGTGGGGAGAGTAATTAGGTCTTAATGCAGCTGTGGGGCAATTTTGCTTGCACATCTTGACAGGGTATCCATCTCCATTCTTAGGCTGCATTCCCTGCGTTCCCTTAGCCTGCACAATAACCTGCTGACTTACCTTCCCCGAGAGATCCTTAACCTGGTTCACCTCGACGAGCTGAGCTTGCGTGGGAACCCGCTGGTGGTGCGGTTTGTGCGTGACCTGACCTACAATCCCCCGAGCCTTCAGGAACTGGCTGGACGCACAGTTAAAACTCGCAACATTCCCTACACTCCCAGTGATCTCCCAGAGAGTCTTGTCCGGTACCTGAGCTTGGCCAGCAACTGCCCCAATCCTAAATGCGGGGGTAAGTTCACCTTTACAGCTCTTCTTCCTGCTCTTACCTTATGGTTTCCTTTCCCTCTGACTTGCCATGCTCACTCAGGTTCAAAGTGTTATTTACTGCAGCCACATTCTTTATTTCCCTGACTCCAGGTCTCCTGGAAACTTGTCTTTAAGGAACCTTGTTCACTTAGGAACAGTATTCAGAGCTGTAGTGCTGGTTTACTGGATTTGCATGGGAATTTAAGACAGCACTTCTGTCAGTCTTTGTAGTTGATCCCAGCACTCCACTATGGTTTTTATGATCTGAAGTTTCTGATCCATTTGCCCTGAAATAGCTCAGAGCAAGTAATGGACAGCAGAGCTTTTGCACACACTCTTGCTGAATGGTGAGCATAATTTCTGGGTGGAAAAGAGGAGAGTGGCTCTAGTACTTAGCAGTTACCAACGGTAACTTGTTTAGCTCTAGCTTGGGACCACAAGCTAGTTCTCGGAAGGAGAGGACTTCGTAAAACAGCCTGGAATGCTTGGGCTTAATTTGCCCCAATGCCTAATCTTTAACCAGAGTAAATGATGTGCACATTAAGCATTTAGAAGATTAAGGGGGGAAAAAATCATTAATTAATATTTACCCTGCAGTCATAATGCAAGCTGTTATCTTGTTAGAGGGCAGTATCAAAGCATGCTCCATAAGCAAAGATGGAAGGGCTGGGAATTAGATTGGGAGGGAAAGAAAAGTTTCTTTTTCCAAGAGTTTTGAACAGCTTGGATAACAGCGGGTTGGTTTTGTGCTTTTTCACTGTGCCTTATGAACTTGCACAGTACTGCAGCATTACTCTGCAGCACTCTGCATTACCACTGCAGGAGAAAAGCTTACTCCTGACCAGCTAGGACTTAAAACACTGCTGGAAACTTCTGAAAATGTCAGCGTCTAGAAATCACTTGCTGTGACAGGAAGAGAACATAATTGTATGTTGCAGCAAGACTGTTGCCATGGAAAGTAGTATCCAAGCTCAGCATTGTGGCTTCACTCAAGCAAAAGAAGAGTAGAGTTGTGAAGGTCTATTTGTGAATGCATTTTTACTAGCTGGTAGAAGAGGTTTCACAAGTTTGAAAATAGAGTGCATTAATTCATTTGACATTTAAGAAGTTTGCAAATTCCCAGGTGAGTTTTCTCCCTAATGGTTAGAAGAAATTGCTGCGTTATTTGGAAGTAACTGCTCTGTGTCTTTACGTGAAGAGTGTGCTGTTCTGAATGACCTACCAAATACAGTTTTACAGGAGTATTTTACTAAGAAAATTAATTTCACATTTTCAGAGGTATCCTGGTCCCTTCCCTTCCAGTATCCCTTGTGCTCCTACGTAAACAGGGCTGTGCCAATAAAAGCCTAATTGAAAGCATATGCTCCAGGCTCAAGAGCCCTGTGGAGATTGCAGAGCTTTGGGCACAGGATCTCACGTTCTTCTGTTCTCTCTTCCTCACAGGTGTATACTTTGACAGCTGTGTCAGACAGATCAAGTTTGTTGACTTCTGTGGCAAGTATCGGCTCCCGCTGATGCACTACCTGTGCTCTCCAGAGTGCTCCTCTCCCTTCAGCTCTGCCTCCCAGAGTTCTACTTCCCAGAGCGAGTCTGACTCTGAGGATGAGGCCAGCGTCGCTGCGCACAGGATGCAGAAAGTCCTTCTGGGATAACAGGGAGCCAGAGGGGAGGACGGGAAGGAAAATGGATTTGAAAAGCAATAATGGAATGGTGTAGCATGAGCCACTGGCCTGAAAGGCTCGTGAGAAATTGGTACAGTGCTGCTTAGGAGACCTACCTGAGTAGCGTGCTGCCTGTAGGTTGCCTGGGGTTGTTAGAAATGTCTCCTGGCTGGGAGGCACCCAGATGGGCTGAGAGAGGGATTTGTTCTCACTGGCGGATTCAGAAGGATTTTAATATATGAAACTTGGCTGGATTTCAGTCATCCTGCAGAGCAAAGGAGACTGTCCAGATCCTTTAACGCTGTGGTAAATCAGAAACAGGCTAATGATGCCATGTGAGTATGTATGGAACCCAGTGTTTTATGTAGCAGTTTGATTCCTTTCTGTCTCCTTTGATCTCAGTTACAGATTTTACACCCATCCACTGAAAATGGAAGTTGAAATTTTTTTTTATTCAGGACTAGATTTTTCCAAACTCTGGTTACTCTTCCTTTGCCTAGAGGTGTAGGGTTTCTGTACTGTTACACGTTATAGCCATCATAGAACTGAGACACCCTTTTTCTTCCTTGTTTTACTAAGCTGCTCTTAGTGTCTCCTTCTAACAATATTTGTTATTTTTCCCCCTCCTCCCTCTTCCCCTTACACCTAAAGTGTTACTGTCTTTATGGTGCCTTCAGATAAGAGACAAGTTGTTCTAATTGGTATTACTTCAGACTGGTGGCCTGTGCAAGGGATCAGATGTAATGCTCTGTGTCGTACTTTTGAGTCTCATCTTACTGGAGCAAATCTGCTTTTACAGCTGTGAATTGCAGGAAAGGTCTCTATTGACATTTTTTGTTTATACACAGCCACCTTTCCCCACCGCAGTTTGCTCTGCTGTTCTTGGTGGAGTTACTTTCCATCTTTAAGGTCATGTATGTGCCTGAGGTACATAGCGGCTCAGTGAATGGAGAGTACCCAGAGAAATGCTGTGGATAATGTCTTTTTTTTTTTTTTTTTTTTTGATTCCTAACAGGAAAGCTGTTAGGGAGTAGGGAGGCAAAGGCACATTACCTGAGCTTCTTGCACGAGGTGCTTTTTAAATGCCTTCCTTGTTTATTTGTTTGCATTTACTCTTGTGGCAATAGCTTTGGCAGTCTGTTGATGGTTCAAATAACACACTCAGTTATTTTAAACTATGTTTAAAGGAAAGCTGCAAAAAATAGCTCAGAATTTTTATGCATCAAGAAATACCTTATAAAATTAATACTACAAATTGACAGGTATCTGTAAATCTACTTTGTGAGGCTGTTGTGTGTGCTTCACTCAGTGAGTGCTGCCCCTTTATTAATATTTCATGGTAGACAGTCTTTTTGATGCAGTTTCTGATAGAGCAAATCCAACCTTGCCTTTGAATGCATGAACAGAGCAAAACCATCATGTTAAGAAGCTGAAATGAACAAGAAAAACTTTCTTAACCCATTTTGGCCCTATGGGGTAATTTAAAAACCTATGCTTCTCTCCTGCATTCAGAAAACACATGTACCTATTTGAACATCTTATTGCAGTGTGTTAATGGTCCTGTTTAATTCTGTTTGACACTTTATGTATTAAAGCACTTTGATAGTTCTGCTCTTTATAACTAGCTTTAGTGATTTTTTTTTAATTAGACTGCAATTTTTGCTTTCATGTGACGTGAAGAACAAGATCTGCGAGACTTTGTATGTTCCAATCTGTCTTGTGTGCAGGTTGAATTTCTTGCCTTGCATTTCCTTGACAGAGCTCTTTTATTTCCCCAGTTTCCCTTGGAAAGAACTGGAATTTGAAAGAAATTACCTGATAGTAAAATAGTATTCTGTCCAGTGTTAATCATTGCAACTTAGTTTCCACACATACATGTGATTCCCTGTGTGCATTGATCCAGAAGGAATTAATTGCATGTGCTCTATGCCTTTCCAAATAATATTTTAAAGTGTTTTTTTAAGACACATTGAGTTGTATGTGCCAAGCAACTGGATGTCACTTTAGCAGATTCTATGAGGTTTGCTTGGGAAGAAGAACGTACAGCTTTTGAGAGAAACCAAATGCATGCTGTTAGTGAAATTGCAACTAGTGAGTGGCCTGTTTTGTTCATCTCTTTCAGATGCTTCTTGCTGTCCCAAGTGAACATAGTCACAGCAATGCTGAATGGTAGTAAGATGATTCCAGGGCCACAATTTTAACTTGCCTGCTGGTATAACCATAGCAATCAACTGAGTGATCTAGAGCTTTACTCTCTGCCAGCAAAAGTGAGCCACACAAGTTGAGATCTCAAGATCTTTTGAGCTCAGGGCCATAAGGTACCAAGTTCCTTTCTTATCTTTAGCAGCAGCTGCCTTGAAGTCATGCATTTTTTCATTTCACAAAGCTAGATTTCATCAGAGTTCCTGTTTCCACAGTAGCACCTCTGTGTGTGATGAGTTCAGACCAGTGGTGGCTGGTTCTAATTTAGCTCGGTCTTTAACTGCAATTTCTTTCCTAACTGAACAGGCATCTCACTTCTGCCCAAATATTACATGGTCTATTAGGGTAATCTTTGTTTTTCACAGATTCTTCATTGTAGCCAGGTCAAAACTTGACAGCTTATGCAGTTGATATCTATGCATTTTTAGACTTGATAAATATTCCTGAATATAGCTACCAAGTTTTCTTTTTGCTGCTGGGCTTTAAAGTGTAATTCAAAGTGCAATTCAAGTAAGTCAGAATTTAAAACAACCAAGAACTTGTAGGAAAAGCAAATTGTTGGTTGGGTTTGAGGTTTTTTCCTCTGAGGTAGTTTTGAGAGGACTAGGGATGCAGATATATACTGTAGCGCCTAACACGTTGAGCCCCTGTGAATCGTTTTCAAGCAACTGTTGGCCCCCAAAGACTTAAAGATGTACTGGGCAATAAAATAGGTGAGACACAACTTGAAAATACACAGATGGATGATAGGCACTCGTTTCTACCACCCCCTTCTCAGGGGCTCTGAGAAGTAGGCAGTGTTTTTGCCAACGTCTGTTTGTTTTCTGTCAGTTTTTAGCAGATTTCAGCTTCTCAAGATGCATCTTCAAGTGAAGTCTTCAGTCAGTGTTTTGGTATCGGTCCCCTTGTTTCTACAGCAGCTCAGCATGACCAGCTTTTGAAGCTGTTCTTAAGTTGAGACACAAGTGTGTTAAGCAAAGTTGCTCATCCCTTCTTCCCCATGGGGCCTGGGGCCCTGCCTGCATTCATCCCCTGCCCCACCAAGCCTCTGCCAAGGAGAGCTGCTGGTGTGTTTCTGAATGCAGGTACTTGATGGGAACATTGTTTGTTAAAAAGAAGCAAAATATCAATTTGATGGGAAGCAACTTAGACAGTTGCCAATTCTTTTATGTTTCTTTAATAAGAGGTGAGACTTGAGGAAGTCAGTAACGAATATTTAAACATACTCTGAAGTGGCCAGATGCAGTTTTTCATGGGCTTCTGTCCTGGTCATTTTAAGTCTTTGAAATCTTGTGCTGAATTATAATGGGACTGGGGGGGGAGGGAGGGGAAAACCAACTCCTTTTTGTTCCATACTCTTGTTGGCAATAATGAATGGAAGGAATTTAATCCAATGAAAGTAATGAAACTTAATCCTTGCAATGCATCTTTGTTGCCCAGTTCAAAGAACTATTTTAATGTATCTTATTCACACCATGTCCTCCCTCCCCAACTGAAGGCTGCTCCAAATAGACTGCTCCAGAGTGCACACTAATACAGCAGTAACTCTGTCTTGGAAACCTTTCTATTAATTATTTCACTTGCTTGCCTGACTAGAGAATTGATCATTTACTGACCAGAACACTAAGGGTAGAAAGGGTTCTCATCCAGCCCTCTTGTTGAATTTTTATTACAAGCATTTGTTTTAGGACATCTTAAAGTGCCTTACAATTTTAAAATTGTATTTTGCCTGGAACATATGAATGTAGACTATCTCTAACAGTATTTCATTATAAGCTGTAAAACAAATTGCAAACACTAAACCTACAAAAATATTATTTCTGCTGTTGTCTGTCCATTATTTTCTGACATCTCAGTTCTGATGTTTCTGCAGACAGAACTCTTGTAGGATTGGAAGCATTAAAATGGGGCTGTACATGGTCGGGGAGTGGATGGAATTTCACCTGTGGTGTGTGAAACCAAGAGTAGGTGAGACTTCCGAAGGGACTGCTGAAACTCCTGGATCTTGGGGCTTACTTGTGACAGACCAATGTGTTACAGAACCAGACCCTGTTTTATTTCTGGAAGAGTGTTGCAGAGATGTGCTCTACAGTTCAAAGGCAGAAGTAACTCACAGACAGGATAAATACCCGAAAAAGAGCAGGTAGTATCATGGTGGACTTTTCCAGCAATATGAAACAACAGTTCTAAACTTTGTGATTTGTTTCTCTCTTAATACGCTAACCTTGAAACCTGTAAATGACTTTTTCAATGCTAATTTTCTGATCTTGTTAACTGGCTAATGTGTTCCCATTTCTTAAGTAATCCCATGTTTCCTTCCTACATCCTGAAGCGTTTTGTGATCTAGTTCCAAAATGTTTCAGATCCTGCCATGCAGTTACCAGTTGTCAGTGCAGAAATGTGGTGTATTGGAAAATGGGACAGTGAGAAACAAGAATGCCTTGATACTAACTTCAACAGGAGCTATTTCAGAGATGGTTCAACTTCATATGTAAGGAAAAAACTCTCAAATTATGCAGTGGCTCCATTTGGGGTAACATAAAGTACAGAGGAGTGCAGTGACCTTGCAGTAATAGCTAGGCTGAGAATATTCTCATTTCTTTTTAGGAATTTTTTCTAATTTGAGGATACCCTTCTCTTTGCCTTCTTAATGCCTACCTTATATTTGCAAACAAAGTCCTCGAAGTGATGATTCCTGACATGAGTTGCCCATGTTTGTCTTTAGGAGCAAATCTTGGCTCTTAGACCCTCTCCTCTGCCTTTAGCACTAAAACAACAGGAGGAGTGCAGAGGAAATTTGAGTGCTTGTAGATGGCTGAACCAGAGCTCAGAACGTCAAATTGACATTTTAGGCCCATGAAGTTGCACAGATCTAAAGGGAAT